CGCCATCATCTCCAAGTAGTGCTCGAAGCACAGCGGGAACGACTTCCAGTCGTAGACGGAGTGGAGCGTCCCCACCCGGACAACCTCCATCCATTCCTCGCCCGACACCTGAATCCTCTTGAGCACCTTGTGGACGCGCATCAGGTACATGTCGATCATCCCGCTGTAGCATCCGATCACCGAGCAACACTTGCCTCGCAGGAACTGCCGGCTCATTCTCGTCAGCACCACGAACAGGAGATTGTCCCCGCACTTGGTATCGTGGCTCACCAGCGGCGGGACCAAAAACTTCTTCCCCATGTTGCGCAGGTCCGACTCGGTGGGGAAGAACGAGGCCAGGTTGCCGTCCAGCCCGACCACCTTGATGTCGTTGGAGAAGGACTTCCGGATGTTCCTGCTCGACGACTTGTGCTTGGCGGCCAGCGAGAAGATGAGCGACCAGCGCAGGTGGTAGTCGACCGTCTTCTTCACAAACGCGAAGTTGTCGCAGCAGCGGTAGTAGTCGAGCCAGCGGTACGCCAGCCCCGAGTACCAGTGCAGGATGGCGATGTCCTCCTGCGCTAGCAGCATCCGGAAGTGCGTCGGCCTCCCACCTTTGGTCACGATCTCTCGCAGCCGCAGCTTGTCCACCAGTTCCATGATCGGCATGATCACCAGCAGCCGCAGCTCGTCCGCCTTCTTCACCTTGATCGGTGGCGGGTTTCCGGTCGATCGGGCCTCCTTCTCCGCTGCCAGCCGCTCCATCTTCTCCTGCTTCTGCTTCAGCCTCGCGTTGACGCCCCCCTCAGCGCTCACCGAGTAGTCGAGCTGGCCCAGGAACTTGTCCACCTCTTCCTGGAACCTGTCGAACGCCGCGATGAGCTCCTTGGGTAGCTGTTCGCGGATCCAGGGGCTCATCAGTATGTGGCCTTTGCGGAACTTCTCGCGGATCATCAGCCTCTCCTCCTCCCTCTCGCTGCTCAGGAATCCCCGGACCATGTCCCCCGCAACGCTCTCGAACATGCGCCGGACCGTCGCGTCGCCCTGGCTGTCCGACAACGCGTTCTTCCTCGCGCGGGTGTATATCTCCACAAGCATCTCAGCGCCCAGCTTCCGAACAACCGCGTCGTAGTGGTGCTTCATCTGCCGCTTCACCATCTCGATCCGGTTCTCCACCGCTCGCATCGACTGGATGCACGTCTGCTTCCGGAACTCGGGCATCTTGGAGGGAGGAACGAACTGGAGCTGGAAGCCAAGGAAGTCACACTGGTTGAGGGTGGCGTCCATCAGCGTCTTCCGGCCCCGCTCCACCTCCGCCACCAGCTTCTCGTTCACGTATACGCACAGCTCGTGCTGGACCGTGAGAGCAATCTCCTTCTGGCCCGACACAGCCAGCAGCACCTCGTCGCCATAGCGGCATGCATACAGCCTGATCTTGCGGTCGGCCGGATCGTCGCTCTCCTCGGCGGGCGTGTTGAGAGCTGACTCTTCAGTGATTCCAATATCAGCATCCGGGACTGAGGCCCTCGCAACTTTCACTTCCTCAGGCTCCTCCGGATTCATGCTTGCCACCCCCTCCGCCACCTCTTGGATCTTCCAGTCAAGCTTGTCCAAGTAGATGTTGAGAAGCATCGGCGAGAGGATGGGCTCCTTGCAGAAGTCCTCCCAGTGGAGGTTCCCCATGTCCATCTGGAAGACGCGGGCACGGAAGAGCTGCCGGAGGAAAGCTATGAGCCTGCTGTCTTCGATGGTTTCCTCAAGGATGGCCACCAGCACGTCGAAGTTCTCGAGCGTGAAGTGCCGCTCCAGCTTCATCTTGATGAACCAGTCGAAGTACTTCCAGCGATACTTGATCAGCCTCATAGCCATATGCCTCCCTCTTCCGGGCCTGGAAGCAAACGAAAGGCTGGAGAACCGCGGCTCGTAAACTTCCTGAAGTGCCATCCGGGTGGCCTCCATGGCGATCTTGGTCTTGAGATTGGGAAGAACCAGCGAGCGAGTGGAGTTCTCCTTGGAGGAGACGAGGACCTCCACGCAGTTGGCCTTGACGTCGAAAGTCCCAATCGCCAAGTCCCTGGACATGTGCTCTATCACCTCCCGGCTAATCCCATCGGCCTCCATTTGCTTGGCCTCGTTTCCCAGGAGAGGCCCCGAGCGCTTCTTGATAGAATTGTAAGCGGCCATTAGATTGCTGGGAGTAGCTACTACATTCCTCATCAACAATCGATACTTACCGTCCACGAAGATCCCGTCCACGCCCTGCCGGAACCTCTCCTGGTCCACGTCCTGGAAGAGGGAATTCACCTCCCTGGCGATGAGCGCTCTGTTGCTCGGCTCCTCCTCCACGGCGGCGGCCGCTGACCAGGCCGATCGATGCGGCGCGGCAGCGGCGCCGACCCAGCAGCGGCGCCATGGCGCTGCCCGCCCCGCGCGTTGCAGCATTGCATTGTCCTAAAGCCCTAAACCCCCCATTTTTAGGGTTCTTCGTATTTTCACTCGCTGACCAAGAGGATCTTGCCCGGGGAAGCCTGCAAATCAAATCCTGGCAGCGTTGGAGCGGAATTTCAACGATCTTGAGGCGCGTACCTTGGCGAGGCTCCCGCGGATGGCATCGTCGTAGCGCTCCAGCGGGAATTTCTCGCCCACGAGCGGCTCCATGATCTTGCCCTCGAGGAGCTTCATCACGGTGGATGCGATCTCCCGGAATTCGTGCATTGATCGCTTGTAGATCCAGCGCTTGAGGTAGAACCCCTTGACGCTGACCTCGCGCAGCAGCAAATCCATGCCCGCGACGGACACCTCCGCCTTGTTCATGGTGCCGTAGACGATGACCGTTCCCCTGTTCTTGACGCTGGCGCAAAGAATCTGGCAGGAAGAATGGAGCGAATCAGTGGATCCGGGTCGACTGGAGAGCTCTTGCCTTTGTGATCTCGCCGCCCAGGCAATCGATGGCGGCGTGCGCGAGCTTGCCATTGGTGATCTTCTTCACCTCCTTGACAACGTTTTCTTCCTTGAAGTTGATCACGTAGTCGGCGCCCAGGCGGAAGAGCTCCTCCTTTTGCTCATTCTTTCTCACCAGACTGATCGTCTGGAAATATGGAAGAAACCGATCGATCGATGAATCGTTCCAAAGAAAAAAGGAGAAGAAAAGGAGACCTTGATGCCCCTGTGGTGTGCGTATTGGATGAACATTCTTCCAAGAACCGAGGAAGCTCCACTCTGGACCACGTAATCGCCGCTGGGAACCTCCAGCTCCTCCGCCAGAGCATACACTGCGCAAAAGAAATCCCTCCCGTGAGGAAGGAGTCCACAAACCCATCCAAGATCTTCCTTGCCTGTGAATGGGTTGACGAAGAACTGGCACGCCACCTCGTTGGAAATGGAGTCGGGCACCGGGATGGCCACATCGGCCGAGCAGAGGAGAAACTCCTGCCATGTCTCGGGATCGCTCCACTCGAGAATCGGGCACACCCGCTGACCCACGCACAGACCCACCACATTCTCCCCGACCTTTTCTCCCAATCCAATCGGGTACCCGCAAAAAAGGAGAGGAAGAACAACGCTATGATCGTCACAAAGGAAGGACACTCCATCGCCAAGTACCACAAGCAACCAATCCTACACAAGAAGAAGAAGACCCAAGAAGTGATCCATCCTCCTCGATCAATCACATCATGTCAATTCCTCTAAGCTTCTCGGAGATCGATTGGGTCCCAGGAAGAAGACCCGAGAAGAGATCCTCCAGGACATAATGCCGATTCCTCCAAGCTTTTCGGAGATCGATTGGGCCCCAGGAAGAAGAAGAAGAAGAAGAAGAAGAAGAAGAAGAAGAAGACCCAAGAAGACATCCTCCTCGATCATTCATGCCAATCACTGCAAGCTTTTCGGATCGCGATTGGGTAGTAGCATCAAACCAAACAACAGGAAGAAGAGGGGAAGAAGAAAGATCGATCAAACAAGCTGGAGCTGAAGATCCAGCTTACCTCGTGGATGATCCCCATGCCCTCGAGGCCTGGCACCGCGGGGAAGGAGATGGGCTTCCAGGTCGGGTAGAAGCCCTGCAAGCACATAATGTCGGATGGATTGACTGGGCGGCACAGGAGCTTCACCACGACCTGGCCACTCCCGGCTCGCGGCGTCGCCACCCATCCAATCCGGCACGCCGCCGCTGGATCTTCCCGGTTATACGACAGGAGCTGGATCGCCCTGTGCATCATCGCCGCCGCCTCCTTGCCCTCGATTGATCAATGCTCTTCTCTTACGATCGAAGATCTAGTTTGCGGGAAGGACGAGCTCCTTTTATAACCCAAAGCTCTCGGATTTGTTACTGTGGCCTCTTTTCCTTGCTCCTCTTTTTGTTTCGCGGGGTATTAGATTATGAGCGCCATGGAAAGACCGTGTGACCTGCGTAATCCGGGAGCGTCAATCCAGCATCTTTGTACTCAGCAGCAAAGGCGTAAAACTTTCCATTCCATGCGTGAATGAGTGAACACGACGCCCTCGCTTTGCTTTAGCCTGGATCCTGTATATCAGCGCCAAACTTTCAGGGGAAAAGCTTAACGACAAGGAGAAAAACGAAAGAACCTTTGGCTCCAAGACCACGTTTCTCACGCTCCATATTAATGGTACCGTCGCTATAGCCACAGTCCTCTCAAACAAGGATATGCTGCCATTCGTCCACGCTCTGGCCATAACTTTGATCGTGGGAGGTTGAATACTGGCAGGGAAAAGCCGACCAAGAAAAACGTGGATGGAATGTGTATACTGACTCATAAACTTTGCAGGACTTTTTGCCATACCAAGGTGTGAGTGAGCACTGCCTTTCAATCGCGATGATTCCAAATTCCATCTCATCCTCACTGATATCCAAAGAATTGCAATCTCGAGCTCCAGGACATAACTTATCTACAAGAGAGTGAAATAATCAGTATACTTGTAGAAAAGAAAGGAAACTTACCTCGAGCGTTTGACTTATCTACCTGAACGTGATGGATGCCTTGGAGACTGTTAAACAACCGAGAGATCCAAAAGTATGTGTAATTTCTCTAGTCAACAACATCAGCTGTTCACGCCAACGAAGCGCGTTTCTCGCGCTTCGCGAATGAGTCAACACGACGCCCTGGCTTTGCTCTAGCATAAATACCTGTATATATAGCAGCAAACTTACATTACTCCGCGAATTACCTTCCACTACCTCGTCTTGTATTAACACTGTCGTGAAGCTAAGTTGCTACGCAGTTCTCCCAAACGCCGATGCTGCTTAGGAAAGGACCACCGTTGCTGCTACCGCTGCTGCCGTAAATCGCCTCCGAGACAACCTTTCGAGCACACTCGTCCCATGCTCTGGCCATGGCTTTGATCGTGAGAGGGTGGGTGTAATTACCGAGCCTCACCGCCCTGGCAAACGAGTCTCTAGCCACCACTGACAGCAAGTGACTAACGAGACCAAGAACAAAGCGTAAAAAACATGAATGAAATGGAAAGAAGGATCCTTACTTGGAGTTTGGATCAAAATTGTCGGACATTAGAAGCGGAGGAGTCTTTGGATAAGTTGGAGGGACGAGTACTCGTAGCGGTGACAAAACGGCCTGCCATTATCCGACAAAGTCAAGCACCACAGAAGTAAATAAGGACTTTTACCATGTGATGTATCGTTTCTGGAATCTCAAGGCCGTTGTACGAAAATGTAAGAACAAGACCTTCCTTGCCTTCGGAGGCTGCTTCCTCAGTCCCATCCTCACTGATATCCACGACGGTGTCGATGAGGTGGTCATTCGTGTCGCGAATTTCTTGCTCCAGGACATAACTTATCTACATGAGAGTACTTATAGCGAGGAAAAGAAGGAAACACTTGCCTCAAGTTTTTGACTCTTCCACCCGGATGTGACGGATGACTCAAGGTCGGCCTCGTCCCCTTTGTGGAGACTGTTCACAACGCTTCCATCCGAGGAGATTAGTGTCAGCGCAATGGAATCGAGCTGACGCTTGACCTTCTTCGCAGCTGCTGGACCTTCCTGCGTTGATGCCAAAGCTCTAGATTGCTGACGACTCTTTGTCAATGCAGCCAAGTCCTCCCCGACAGCTGCTCTGCAACCAGGGCCGGGTGCTGAGGCCGCAAGCTTGTCGGACAAGTTCACGACAGATCTCATTTCCCTCACGCCTGCGCTGAGAGCTTTTGGAGAGATCGTGCTAACCTGGAGTTCGATAAAAAAATTTAAAAAAAAAAAAAAAAAGAGTTTGAGTTATGTAAGAGGAGAAACTAGAACTTACGATCTTAAGAAGCCTCTCCAAAGGATCGAGGCCCTTCTGGCCAAATGGAGTCCCGGGCGCTGGATCCTGCGAGCCAGCGACTTGAGCAGGACTCGGGGAAAACTCCAAGAAAGGTGACGCCGAAATGCCTGGTGTGCCAATCACTGGAGTTGCGGTGGACTGGTTGTAGCCAATCGGCTGGGAGCTCGTTATCGAGGACACAGCGGAAGTAGCCGCTTTATGCTCGGCGTCCTCGATTGGTGGCGAAGCAACCGGAAGCAACGGAGAGGGAGTCATAAACGGTGGTGTCGCCGCTTGCAAAGGCGTGCCAACTTTGACGGTAGTTAAACCTTGAGCATGCTGCTGGTCTATCTGCGGTGACAGTTGCTGGGCCAGTTGAGGCGATGGAGCTTGCAGAATCTGGGGAGATGAAGTCAGCTGAGGCGATCCAACTTTCATCTGATTCAGCTGGTTCTGCTGCTGCTGCTGCACTCGCTTAGTCGCCATCATTCTTCGGATATCCATCTTCGAATCCTCCTGCATTTGTTGCTGCTGGTGTTGTTGCTGCTGCAGAGGAAGGACGAGGTTGGAAGCTTGCTGCAACTTTTGCTGCTGCTGCTGAGCCAGTTGGATTCTCTTCATCTGCTGCTGCTGTAGAAGATCTTGCTTAAACACATGCTGCTGCTGCTGCTGCTGCTGGAGAGGATTTAGACTGTGCATCATGTTGGGCTGAGCAGTATTCTGCCCCGGAATTGTGACAGGCGGATGCTGCACGGACGAAATCTGACCGCCAAGCATTCCTTGCTGCTGGTGCTGCTGCTGCTGAAGTTGCACTTGCTGCTGCTGCTGTTGCTGAGGGAGCTTACGCTTCTTAAAAGTCTCCATAATACTCACAATTTGTTTCTCGAAGGCTTCTAGCTTGTCTAGCCTGAACTCCTTTGGAAGGTTGGTCCTCGAGGCAGATAAATATGGAATCATTCGGCTTAACACGTCCTTGTAATGATTCAGCTTCTGCAGCTGATCTGCGGGCATTGACTGCATATAGAAAAAAAAATTGCTTTTAACAATTTGGGCCGACAAAGTCTTACCTGTTGACTTCGTGCAACAAGCATGTTCCGAAGATCGTTCATGTCAGGTAAATACTTGTCCTTGAGGTTTTGCAGCTGTAACAGAAACGATTATTTCATATTGAATACAAAGTACGCTGATACATACCTTGTTCCACACCGTCTCTTGTTGGTCGATGGTAGCGGACTGAGCTGTCTGACCCGAATCAACTGAAGCTGTGAAAAAAACAATTAAGCCCACTCGCTCTTGAAAATCCATAACAACGCACCTGAGGAAGCTTCGGACACGGCACGTTGTTGCATCATCCCGAGGGGTTGATTTTGCTGCGGCAGTGCTTGTTGCTGCTTCGGCTGAAGCATTTGTTGCTGAAGCATCTGCTGGCCACTGCTCAAGAGCTGCTGCTGGTGCAAAGCTTGAGCACTCGGCTGCTGCTGTTGCTGCTGCATGTACGGTTGTTGCTGCTGTTGCATCAAGCTTGGTTGATGCTGAGACATATTTGACTGAGGCTGAGAAAGTCCAGCTAGCTGTGGCTGTTGTTGTTGTTGCTGCTGTTGCAATGGTGGTAGCTGCTGTTGTTGCTGCTGCTGCTGTTGATGGTGCTGCAACAGGGTCACGGGCGGCTGCTGTTGCGGCTGCTGTTGCTGCTGTTGCGGAAGTAGACTTTGCTGCGAATTAATCCCAGAAGGTTTTAGAACCATACTCGTCGGTTGCTGCTGCTGTTGCAAGCCGGGTTGCTTTTGCTTCATATGCATCCGGTAAAGCATCTGCTGAGAAGCAACATGCGGAGGTTGTGAAGATTGAGGCTGTTGTTGTTGTTGCTGATGCTGTGGTTGTTGTTGAGGCTGTTGTTGCTGCTGTTGTTGTTGTTGCTGCTGCTGCTGCTGTGGCTGCACTTGAGTTTGACGAGCTTGCATCATTCTCATGGCAGCTGAATTCTGGCCGAGACCGGCAAGGCTTGCTTGTTGTCCTTGCAGGTGTGCTGGCAAGGCCGCAATGGGATTCCCTTGCAAAGACTGATGTGGTCTGACTTGACCACTCAGTTGGATGTTGTTGCCAAAACTTTGCGGGACTTGAGCTTGACCTTGAGCTTGTCTCATCTGTAATTGCTGCTGCTGCTGCTGCTGCTGTTGGAGTTGTTGTTGCTGTGGTTGCTGCTGCTGGATTTGCTGCTGCTGTTGCTGGGGCTGCTGCTGCTGTTGCTGGATTTGTTGCTGGAGCTGCTGCTGGATTTGAGGTTGCTGAGGCGGCTGCTGCTGCTGCTGCTGGATTTGCTGGGGCTGCTGCTGCTGCTGGAGCCCTGGCTGCTGAGAACCCATGAGAGACGAAGTCCCAGAAACCATCTGAGAAGCATCCGACGGATTTGACGGGGGAGCGTTGCTGTTGTTCTGGGACGACTTATTCTCTAGCGAGAGCATCTTCATGGATATCCTCCGGAGATAGTCTTGCTGAACAAGGAAAAAAGAAACTTTTCTATCATCGATCCGATCAGAGGAGCGAGGAGAAACTTGCCTGATCCGTCGCCGTCATGTAAATCTTCTCCTCGAAGCGGCATGCGATCTTGAGCAGCTCGTTCATGCCGTCGGGCGGATTGTGTGGCATATGCTTCTGGAGCGTGTCCATTCTGCCGATTACCGGAGACAAGGCCATGAGGATCAATCCAGAGAGCTAGAGGGGAGCGCTTACATTCTCTTGACGATCTTATTCCGCGCATCGGAGCATAGGCCACTACGCCAATCCATTGCCCTCGTCTTCTCAAACCCTAGCTAGCTCGCTCCTCCTATTTGGTAAATCTGTTGAAAACTAATAAAATAATGTGAAATATTCTTTACATCTAAAGCATCCGGTCAAGTATCTAGGGCTTGACAGAGCTATGGCGTTCCAGGGCGCCAGGGTTCCTCTCAATTGGTGGCAGCGCGCGGCCGTCGTGGCGGGATCGGCAGTGGGAGCTGCGCTGAATCCCGCTAGGGCGGATCTCGTCGCTGCTCTGGGCGAGACCACGGGAGGATTTGCGTTCCAGCGAATGCTGGAGCGTATGGAGCGAAGCCCCGAGGGCCAGGTAGCAAGCAAATCTTGTTCTTTCTATCCATCTCCAAGCAATTCCTTTGCTCCAAGCAGAGAATTCTCGCGGAGCGTCCCAGAGTGACATCGTCGGCAATGTCTCGCGCCTGGGATCTTCCACCCAATACCTTTGGCGCCGCCTACGCCCAGTTCATGGGATCCAGGAACTTTAGCCCCGACGATCGCCCTCCAGTTCGATTTCTAGAGTCCGAGCAGCTCGCCTACGTTGCGACACGAGCCCGGGAAGTTCACGACTTTTGGCACGTCCTCTTTGGCCTGCCCACCAGCGTCATGGGAGAGCTCGCCTTGAAAGCTCTCGAGTTCCAGCAGACCACCATGCCGATGTGCTTCCTCTCGGTTGCCGGAGCTTCGTGGCGGCTCAAGCCACACCAGAGGGACGCGCTCTTCCGGGAGTTCATCCCCTGGGCTTTCAAGGCTGGGAACTCCGCCACGGACCTGATGTGCGTTTACTACGAGCAGCACCTGGACGAAGATCTGGAAGACGTTCGCAACAAGTGGGGCATCATTCATGCGCCGGCGCTACGAAAAAAATAGTTTTTCCGAGCCTCCTCAACTCTTCAACTTCGCCCAAGCTCCTGTGAGCCTCTTCTTCTACAGGAGCTTTGGTGCTGGATAAAAGGTTGAGCAGAAACTTGCCTGTGCACGAATGTAGAAGTCATTAGAACCGGATCGCAAAAGCTCAGGTACTTACATTCTCCTGATGGACATTTCCAGTTGTGTCGTTCGGATCAGGTCTCTGAGAAGCCAATGTTCCAGAGGCCTTCCGGTGTCGAGGGAGGAACGAACTTATACCGATGTTCACACCGCGAGTTCCCGTTTCGCCTGGGAGTTCCACACGTTGACGTTGGGAATCTAGTGGGAAAACCACATCGAGCAACCTGAAGCTCGTAGTGATGCGACGGAGACACTGGACTTACAACGATGGTAGAGGTGCGACTGCTTCTGCTAAGTCTCCAGGAAAGGAGTGGACTGCGCCTGTTAAGTCGGTGCGGAAGACAGGTGACGCGTGGAATGCAAGTGCAAAAAGTTCTACCACGCCGGCTTCGATTTCTCAGCTCCATGGCGATCTCTTTGAGGCGTGTCGGCTCTGGTGGTGAAGTCCGAGGATTCTTTTTTGTGGTTGATCTCTTTCCTTTGATCCTAGACACCAATGAATTTGCATTTTCAAGTTATTGTACTTCGAATTTAGCATGTCCCAAGCCCCTATAATTGCATTCCCTCCCTAATCCAGTGTTTTGTAGATGGTCCAAATGTTATTTAAATTAACATGTATGTCATAGGCATTTATTCATTTTTCAGTTAATGCCCATGATAATATTCATTTTTCAGTTTCAATTGAAATTTAGGTAGAAATAATATCACATTGCAACCCTATTGAAGTAAAGCCTTGCAAGAATTAATTTAGCCCAAAAATTATTTCTTTTTGGTCTGATTAGGATTCTTTAGCTTAATGAATATTGTAATGCCTAACACAAACAATTATAGAAATGTAATTTGTGCTTACTTTTATAAAGTATTTTTCTTCTTTTTAAGAAAATATACAAATTGAAAGTGAGATTGAATATAATATTTCATCTGAGCAAGATTGAAGTGCTAATATTGAGCAATCTTGCTTTTCCCCTCTTATTTCTTTTAAGTATACAAAGATTTCAAATCTAAATGGCTTATTTTTCCTTTTCATATCCAAAACCAATTTAAACTTCATAGTCAGAGTTACTCTTAAAAAAACAAAAAATAGTGTATATCCAAATTTTAACATAAAGCGTACATGCAAATTTACATAATATTGAAATCAAAATAGGTATGAAACTTAATGTAATACTTAATATTCTAAGTTAATATCATTATATGTCAGGATAAGATACCAAATTATATTTATATATACTTAATGTTATAATATAATGTGTTTAAGTTCCACACTTTAATTACTCTACATAAAGAGGATTTGAATTCTCTTTTTCTTTGAAAATGGGTGTGAGATAATGTAGTGAATGTTTATATCAAGCTTATTAATGGTAATATGTGCAATTTTTTATTGTGTCAATTTAGTAGAAGGTAAAGTTTTTTATTTATCTTTTTCATTGCTTTAATGGTTTTGTAACAACTATTGCTTTCTTAAAAGGAAAGCATAAAAAGATTATTCTCCATTTTGATCTTATAATCACAGTCCACAATCAATATTTTATTATGATAATGATAGAGAACTACATCAAATCAAGTGCAATATAAAAGTATTATGGGAAACCTTATTCAATCTTGCTCACCACAATACCTTAATAACTTATGATTACACCTTTATTTTTTGATAATATAAACTATATTAAACAATTGTTATAAGTGGGTAAACATGTGATAAAGTGAGAGTAAGGATAAAACCAAGCTAAAAATCCAAGAATTGAATTCGTCCAGTATTAAACTCCTTAACCAGATGGACTTGTTGCTCCTTCTGAGGCCACCAGGATTTGCCAGTGACTCGACTTGAGGTTCAAGCTGGTTCTTCCAAGTTCTTGTGAGTCGAGTAGTAAACAACGTCTCCAGCTTCAAGTCCTTGGGAACCAGATCCAGCGGTCCAATTCCATTCATTGAGACAAAAGTATCCTTGTCTATCAGGGTTCACGCCTGTGAGATCCTGGGGACGACGTACTTTTGGAGCTTCCCATCCGGAGAAGCGAGTATACTTCCAATGTAAACTTCCGGAGAAAGGATCCCTTCCACGAAGACCAGCCTGATGCTCTCTTCTTCTTTGTCTTCCATGCCCTCAAAGATCATCTCCACCTGTCACCAGCGGCAGGATCTCTGAATTCTTGAGAAACTTCACGTTTGTGAACCTGTGGGCTTCGTCTTTGCTGCTAGGCCACTTACACGTAACCGCGACCTCGGCCGATCCATCCCGCAAGGCTTTCGAGACGAGATTGGTCCTCCTCTCCTCCCCAGCACCCTTGCTCGCGCTGTCCTCCAGCTTCTCTGCGAGCTCTAGAAGAGCCTGCTCTCCGAGGAGCAGTAATCCGGGCTCTCGATCTGCTCTGCCATGGGCGCCTTCCTGGACCGGAAGGTTAGGTGCTGAGGGAAGGCAAGTTCATCTGAAATCCAAAGGGAATTCTGTTTGAGAATATTCTCCGTGACGAACCCCGGTTCTGCCTCGTCCTGGAAGCTATTAACCTGCTTCTAGATGCGTCGTCTCTCGTAGATCTAGCGCTCACTCAGGCGAGCTCTCTTACAGGATGTGGATCGCGAGGGCCAATGATCAAGAAATGCTTGCCAAGCGGAAGAACGCTGTGTCGGTGGCGCCAAGCAGGCCTCAACGGGCCGTCCCCAAGGAAGCGATTGCTCCTTCCAAGGCAGAGCGCGACGAGGTTAGAAATTCTAGTCCCGTTTTCTTTTCCTCACATCACGTATGGACTGGAAAGATGGCGGCGAAGGATCTCCAGAAGAAGAGCATGAAGCTCGACGAGTTCCCGGAGGTGTCGGGCTAGTTGGCGTCTCAAGGGATTAAAGCGTGCTCAAGAGCGTGCAGCACGAGAAGGAGCGAATCTTCCAGATCTTAAGTGTTTTCTCTTCCATTTTCCTCTTTACTCCTCGTGGCTTACGAATCGAGGGGATACAGTGACCGATGGGGATCGTCTGATGCAAAGTAACAAGCGAACGGCACATTCCAACGCACATCTCCATGCTATTCGTGACAGAAAACGTAAGTACGAGCAGGAACAGGAGGCCGGACGCTCAGAGGATGAGCCTGCGAAACAAGATTCTCTGTCTGCGAGGGAAGGTTCTCGGTCTCCGAGGGAAGGTTCTCGGATGAGAGCTGTGAGGTTCTCGGTCCTCTGTGGCAATGGGATTCCCTTGCCAAGACTGATGTGGTCTGACGCGACCACTCAGTTGGTCTTGAGCTTGAGCTTGTCTCATGTGTAATTGCTGCTGCTGCTGCTGCTGCTGCTGAAGTTGTTGTTGCTGTGGTTGCTGCTGCTGGATGTGCTGCTGCTGGATTTGCTGGGGCTGCTGCTGGAGCCCTGGCTGCTGAGGACCCATGAGAGACGAAGTCCCAGAAACCATCTGAGACGCATCCGACGGATTTGGCGGGGGAGCGTTGCTGTTGTTCTGGGACGACTTATACTCTAGCGAGAGCATCTTCACGGATATCCTCCGGATATAGTCTTGCTGAACAAGGAAAAAGAAACTTTTCTATCAGGGGAGCGAGGAGAAACTTGCCTGATCCGTCGCCGTCATGTAAACCCTCTCCTCGAAGCGGCATGCGATCTCGAGCAGCTCGTTCATGCCGTCGGGCAGATTGTGTGGCATATGCTTCTGGAGCGTGTCCATTCTGCCCATTACCAGAGACAAGGCCATTAGGATCAATCCAGAGAGCTAGAGGAGAGCTCTTACATTCTCTCGACGATCTTATTCCGCGCATCGGAGCATAGGCCACTACGCCAATCCATTGCCCTCGTCTTCTAAAACCCTGGCTAGCGCTCCTCCTATTTGAATAAAATAATGGGAAGTCAACGCCCACCAGTGCAGATCTGGAAGACTTTCGCAGCACGTTCCTGCGCCAGCGCTACGAAAAAAATAGTTTTTCAGAGCCTGCGCAACTCATCAACTTCTCTTGAGCTTTGGTATAATAGCCGAAGAAACTTGCCTGTGCACGAGTGGAAAATCCATTAGAACCGGATTCTCCTGCTCGGATCAGGGCCAATGTTCCAGAAGCCTTCTGGTGTCGAGAGAGGAACGTACTTATACCAATGCCTTGACACCTGATTGTGATGCTCACACCGCGAGTTCTTGTTTCGCCTGGGAGTGAAGAAACAGTCCATTTCGTGCCAGATACGTTAGGAATCTTTGAGCAACTAGGCAGAGCTGAAGATTGTAGTGATGTGATGGAAACACTAAAATCTCCAAGGAGAGACTAGACTTCTAAGAAAGGAGTGGACTGTGCTTGTTAAGTTAGTGTGGAAGATGGTTGAGATGACTTTTTGAATTTTGGCATATCTCAATTACATTTGATTTTTCATTTTGCATATTGATACTTCTAATATCAGTTTACTGAACATTACAATTAGTAAAGGTAAATTATTTCATAAAAAAAGAGTGTTTAACAGTAATTTAGGGTTTTGAGAAGCTTCATAAATATTTGCATGGATCTCAGACATTATTAAAAGGTGATTATGCTATGGTTACTTTATTATTAAAGTAAAATAACTTACTACTCAGTGGGCTCTAAAACTTTAAATATATAATTTCAAGGTTATTCATCACTTATGGAGTATTATGGTTGATGTTGACATTCTTTCTTAAACTTCTCTCCTTTTTTCACTCTTTTGTTATATTCTTAGTAAGCTTATTATTCAACATCTGTGGATTTTCTAGATGAGAATTTCATGCCGTCAATAATTGCTATACTTGACTAAGTGTTTACAAAATGTGGAGTAAGATTTAAAAGTTCGTGAGGCTCAAAAGGTTAAACAATGGATCCAAAGGTTTTACAATGGGTTTAATAATTTTGCATCACTTACTAATAACTTGTTATTTTAACATTTACAATCTCAATATCACCTTGAGGACAACATTCTTTATTTTGTGGGGATGGATCCTAATGATCATTTACGACTAGTGGTGCCTTCAATATTTATTTCACTCTTTCTTCACACTTACTATTATACTCCTATTCTAGGTAGGCATACAAAACATTGTTGTATAACTAAAAAGTTCTACACATCTTTCTATTAGCCTAAGATGTGATGTGATGTTATTTTATATATATATAATTGCATTTGGTGCTAAGCTCATAAGACTCCCCCTTCTATTGTAGAAGGACAATTAAAGTTAATTCTAGTTTCTCGTTTGTTTACATTTGATTTAATAGGGCTTTTTCTATAGTTTATTACTGGCAATAAGTATGTCATTATTATTTATAATTATTTGACTCAATGGGTGGAAGTTAATGCTTTTGCTAATGTGTCTACAGCTACTATTAGATACTTCCTCCTCAATTGTATAATGTTCTAGCATTCTTATCCGAAGCAAATTCTCTCGAATAATAGTTCCGCATTTATGGTTAGGGCATTTCACATTTTAACATCTCAATTGAGGAAATGCCATACTTTCACAAGTGTTTATCATCTATAAATAGATGGTTTAGTGAAACAGCTCATTCGGACCTTCAAAAGGATGATTACAAAGTATATGAACTTTCAATATTCAGATTAGGATGGTTATTTGTCATTTTTTTTTTATATATTTTCACAAGGGTATAAAGTTTTATTAGTGCTTCACCATATAAAATTCTATATGACCATGATTCAATATTACTAACGGAGTTGAGTTTATCTTCACAATTGCCACAAACTACTGATGCTAGGTCTTGATATTAGCATTTGACAAGTATTCTTCCATTAGTTCAAGTGGAGTTTAATAAACACTTAATCTGTATAAATAGGACAACAACAATGTTACAACTCCTATCATCATCTATATTCAAAGTACAAAATAGATGATTTAGTCTTAGTTTATTTTTCCAATCTTATAATATGTGATTTGTTTAAAAGGTTTCTTGCTCAATGGAAGGGACTATATCAGATATTGCAGCAACTTGGACCACAAATGTGTAAAGTTTAGCATGATATTCAACAAATACATCCTCCAAATATTATGCATGTGAAGCAATTAAAAAGCTTTATACAAAGGGATCAAACTAACACCACCTATAGATCTAATCATGCCTCCTCCTGATGTTCTTCTAAATCTTGACCTATCAACTAGAGAACCCTAATAACCTTCCATCCTTCTGAAAGGAGGGGATGATATAAAATCCAAGTGCATAATTACGATACCATATATTAATATTAGTGTAGTGGGATTTTAATAACCATTAAAGTGGTTTCAATTTGAACCACTTACTCTTGTATATAAGCTATGGTTTTAGGATTAATCAAATATACGTAACCTCTTGAATTTGGACTTCTAAAGATGTCACTCAACCTAATACCTAAAAACGCTTAACTCTAAATATCTTAAAATTCTTAACCAATTGGAAAAAAAAGTGCACTATTGTTCATGAGTTCTTTCCCTTTATATTTAGACCCCTACAAACTATCTCTTAAGTTGTTCTCTTTGGTGATTTACAACATGCAAATGTTAATCTAATAATGTCTACGACAATATTTAAGTAACATTTAGACCACGAGTTACATGGGACTAGGTTATAAGGGCTTGGGACATGTTAAATTTGAAGTACAATAACTTGAAATTGCAAATCCATCAACTTAGGTGGGGCATGCAATTATAGGGGCTTGAGACATGCTAAATTCAGAGTACAATAACTTGAAAATACAATTTCACTAACAAACAACAACAAGATTGTAGTGCACATGGTTTTTACCCTTTATCCTATGATGATTTACCATAGGATAACCACAAAGCAGAACATAAACCCTCTTTGTGCCACGTGACAGATGCCATGTGTCATATGCCACATGTCCAAAGGACAGTGGTGTGGAACCCAAGTTTCAGGGTCTTGGGCCACTGAACAAAAAAACAGTGCCAAACTCCCAAGCATGGAGCCAAGGAGTGACGGAACTGAACCACGGAGCAACTCCCGAGCATGTAGCCTAAGGAGCGAAGAGATAGGAGCTCGGAGCGACTTGGAACAGTCCCAGAACAACCAATATCTCAATGCCAAGACCAACACGCAAAACAAAGCCAAACGGAGTCTGGCGCTATTTCAGCATACCAGTGGCCTAACATGAGGACATGGGTGTAAGGAACTGACTCCCCGAGATGTCGTAAGGCTAAAGGATCCCCAAAAGCTTGACCGAAATGACAAAGAGTTCATTGGATGGGACCAAGTCGAGGATCGAGTCCAAGACCGACTCTAGGACTGAGTTCGAGGTAGAGTCCGGAATCGAGTCCGAGACCGACTCGGGGACCGAGTTCGAG